TGATCCATGTGCTCTTTTGGGTAACACAACTTTAACGACCATTCATAGATAAGAACCTGTTTTATGGACTTTACCACCACTGTCCATCACCTCCTCCATGTTCTCAACTTCCCGGCTCATGGGTTTAGGACCCCCAGTCCATAATTATAATCACACTGTTTCGCATTCAATTTCCTTGCCTTTTCTCCTCCCATTCTGAAGGTGAACACCTAACTTCTGGCTATCAGCCCATTTTTATTCAAAGAAAAACTCAGGTTTTCTATGCTTGTTTTCTACTCCCTTTCCATTCATTCTCCCTTAAGCCTCCCCACCCCAGTCAGGCTATCACATACACACACGAGGCCTCTTAAATTGTTATCAAAGACACCAAATCCAGCAGTCAACTCCACATCCTCATCTTATTCAGTAGCAGTGATGCAAGTGATAATTCCCTACTTTTGAAAAAACTCTGTAATTGGCTACGGGGACACATAATTATCTAGTTTGTCTAAGACTCTACAGGCTGCTACTCCTCTGATGGGTCCTGTTCTTTTCTTCATTTCTGATTGTTGCAATGTCCTGGGGGCAAGCCCTCGTACTCCTCTTCATCTATAATCTCTCCCTTCATGATCTCATCCAGACTGTGGCTTTAAAAAGAATCTACATATCTCATCAAGTCTAAGATGTGATAGGCTGAATAATGACCCTCAAAGTTATCCAAGTCCTAATCCACAGAGTCCGTAAATGTCACCTTCTACAGCACAAGCGATTTTGCAAATGTGTTTAAGTTTAGGGTCTTTATATGGGAAATTTCCAGAACATTTTGTAACCACAAGTGTCCTTATAAAAGGGGAGATTTGACAGCAGAGATAGAGGACGACGTGATGACTAAAACAAGATACTGTTCTGTTGGCTTTGAAGATGGAGGAATGGGCTGCAAGCCAAGGAATGCAAAGATTGCAGTTCTAAGAGCCAGAAAGGTTAGGAAATGAATTCTCCCCTAAAGCCTCCAAAGGAAAGTGGCTTTGGTTTCAACCTGGTGAGACCATTTGGACTCCTGGCCTCCAGAACTGTAAGGGTAAAATTTGAGTTGTCTTAAGCCACCAAGTTTGTGGTGGTTTATTACAGCAGCCATAGGAGACGGACACAGATAGACATTTTCCTTACCATTCAACATCTCTGCAGTCAGGATGCATCTAAGAACCATGGCCATGGCATCTCGGAGCTGCTGACAGCCAGATGAGGTTGTGGTCTAGTTGGAACAGCTCAGGTGGCTTAAGTGCATTCACATTGTTGAGCAACCACTCTCCAGAACTGTTTGTCTTGCAAAACTGAAACTATCTATAAACAACAATTCTGCCTTAGCCCCTCCTCCCAGCCCCTGGCAGCCACCCTTCTGCTCTCTGTCTTTATGAATGTGACTCCTCTAGGTACTCATGTAAGTGCAGTCACACTGCTTTTGACCATTCATGACTGGCTTGTGTCACTCAGGTTGCTCCTCCCATGGCTTTTCATGCTTGGAATAAAATCTGAAGTCCTTGCAGTGGCTTACCAGGCCGTCAGATCTGGCCCGCAGCCATCACGTTGGCCCCTTTGCCTTCTTAGCCTCTCCTCACTGTACCCCAGCCATGCTGACCCCCATCCCACCCAGGCAGCGTCCCATTTCTCCAGGACTCCCCGCTGCGTGAGCCACAGGTCCCTCTTCACTGGCCTAGGGCCCTGCTCAGATGTCCCCTTGGAAGAGGGCACTTCCCCGACCACCTTATCTACAACAGCTCTGTTTCCACCCCTTATGCTGGTTCGTTTTCCTCCACAGAGTTCACTGCCTGACATTATTTGTGTTTTTATGAGTGTATTTATTATCTGTCTCCCGACCAGAATAATACTCCAAGACAGCAGGAATTTTGTCTCACTAAATGACTTAATGTTGAATCCTGAGTGCCTAAAATAGGAATTAACACAATAGTAGAAGTTTAATAAACATCCTAGAATATTAAAGTAAAAGAAATCAAATTCAGCAATTCACTTTTGGAGTATTTTTTTTTTTTAATTAAGAGACTTTATTTCTTAGGGCAGTTTTAGGTTTACAGAAAAAGAATGCACAGAAAGTACAGAAGTTCCCATATACTAACTCTCCTCTCCCCAGTTTCTCCTGCTATTAACATTTCATATTGGTGTGGTACATTTTCATTATGGATGAACCAATATTAATGCACTAGTATTAGCTGAACTCCATAGTTTACATTATGGTTTAATTTTTGCACTGTACATTCTGTGGATTTTGACAAATGCATAAAACACATATCTACCATTACAGTATCATATAGAACAGTTTCACTGCCCTAAAATCCCCTGGGCTCCACCTATATCCCTTTTCCTTCCCTCAACCCCTGACAACCCAAGAGTTTTAATTTTTTTGTGACTAGGTGACTAGATTCTTCCCAGAACAGAAACAAGAAAGCCTATGTCTACATTTTCTGTGGCTCCTGACACACGGCCCTCATGTTTAATGTTCTTGCTTTTCAAAGCTATTAAGAAACTGCACCACATTTCTTGTGTTAAAAAAAAAAAGAAAAACACATCACCTAAGAATGTTCCATCTTCTACTCCTTTCAGAAGTATGGCTTGGTTCCTAATCATCACCCAGCTGAGGTCTCTGAGGCTGATGGTCTAAAAGCTGAGATTAATATGGAGGCTCACTGGGAAATAGTTTCTTACATAAATTAATTTCCTCTTTCTAGGATTTTTCCCACAGCCACTTTTTCCTCTCTTCTTGTCTTCATTTTCTAGCAGGTTTGAGTTACCTGTTTTTATGCAATGACACTTTAATTAGGTAACAGCCACAAGCAAATCGATTTTTCCAGTCAGTTAAAGGGGAAGGCTGTGTTTGAAAGTTTCCAAAGGGCAGATGCTGTAGTATTAGTAGTGGCAGTGGGGATTAGAGGATGTGGAGAGCTACCCAAGGGTTGGGAATCTTTCTGTGAGGACGAGGACAGAGGGACTGATAAGTGAATGACTTGTCTTTCCTGGTAAAGAAAGGATCTCTATCCTATTCATTCCCTGACTGCCTGGGAAGGCGCCTGAAGTGCAGCAAGGGGGAGTAAAGTTTTGTGGTCTCCAGTTTGACTCCTGGGGTCTCCTCCATCTTTCACTCATATGACCACCAGCATGTATCATTTTATTAGCCTTCAATACTCGGCTTCCTCAGAGAAACTGTGCAGTTGTAAAATCACAGCTATTACTAAATACAAAGAAATCTTCTAAGTGCTAAGAGAGAAGATAATGCCTTAAAAGAAGGAAATTATTGGTGTTCATCATACAAACCAAGTTCATAAAAATTGTTTGTTTTCCCAAATTGCTTACCATTTCCCAGGCACGTAATTCTTATACACATGGTTTCCCTGTGCTCATTCCAATGCCACCATTTCCTTTTCCCTCTTCTCCCTCTGTGATGTCTTCTCTGTGACCCCAAGGAGAGCCAGTCACAGCTTGCTCAATCTCCCCTTAGTTTTTTATACATAATTTTTATATATAATCCTTTTACTCCTTTACTAAGTGACAAATTCTTTTTAAAGGCAAGAAGTTCATCTAGAGCTCCAAAATCCATAGTTAGGAGCTCAAGAAACTTTTGATTGAAAGAATGAGCTTAGATCTTTCAAACATAGTGTAGCAGGAGGCCTGGCCTGAATGTAAACTGTGGTGACCCCATGTCCACTACAGCATGTCTGGAGGACAGATGGGGCCAGCCCACTGCAGGCAGTTTTCACGAGAGTTGAGACTCTCTGGGGAAAGAATTAGTACTACAAGACTCATTCCTGGAAAGACCTGATCTGTCTTGCCTCCAGGCTTCTGCACATGCTCTGCACATGTTCTGCCTGCTATACTTCTCCTTCTTTACTGAGCTAATTTCATTTATATTGCACAGCTGTATTTAAATATCACTTCTTTTGGAAGCCTTTGCTAGCCACCAAGACTGCCAGCTCCCCTTGTTCTAACTTCTCAAAGCCCCTTGAGTTCTGTATCAGTACCTACATCATGCTTAAATACCTGTCCAATGTCTGTTCTACTTGCTTGTAAATTCCATAGGGTCAAGATCATCTCTGTTTGGTTCACTGCTTTACCCCTGGAACCTGGCCCATTTCCTAGGCACAATAGAGACTTAAAAAAATTTGTTAAATAAACAAACGAGTATTTGCAAATGCCTACTTAATGTTCTGCTTCAGCAAAACTCATAAGCACATCAAACTGAATAGGTTGCAAACTCTTGATTTCTCTTCTGAAGTCTGTTTTTCACTGTCCTCATTTTAGTAAATACATCAACACCCATACAGTTGCTCAACCCCGAAACTTGGAGTGGATATTCTCCTTTACCACACCTCCATATTGAATCTATCAGCAAATACTTCCTATTCCAAAATACATCTTCCATTTATTTATAAGCACTTCCAGTGTCTGGTCCTACTTCGAGCCACCATCATTTCTCACCTGCATGCCTGCAAATCACCTCCTGTCTGCTCTCCTTACTTGCAATTATTCCCCTCTAATTGCTAATTAAACTGCTAAGTGACTACTAATTCCCCACATAACAATCAACATGATCTTAGCAAGATATAAAGAAAATTATTTCATTGCTCTGCTTTGAATGGCTACCCTGGTACAACCCACACACCCAGACATACCTTGACCACTTCTTACTGCTCCAGGCCACTTCCTGACCTGCTTCTCTCTCATTCAGCTCTAACTGCACTCACTTCAAGCTTACTGTAGGTCGTCAGATGTACCATACTCCCTGCTCCTTACGGCATTTGCCTGGAAAATTTTCCAGCTGCCTCCTTGAAGGGTTGTGTCCTAACTCTTTGGGTCTCAAATGAAATGTCGTTTTCTGAATGAGGCCACCTTATGACAGCTCCATTAGCTCTGTTTCCTTATCAAAACATCTCAACAATTTCCTTCTTAGCACTTCATGTCAACAGTTGTCCATTTATTAGTTTGTTCACATGTTTATGCACTGGGATGTAAGCTTCATGATACTTTCTTTGCACATGACTATTCTCCAGGAGCCTATTTTGGTGCTCATCATATAATATATGTTCAATAAACACTTGTTGACTGAAAAGAACATGGAAAAAGCTCAAGGGCAGCAGGGGTGGGATGGAGTAGAAAGGCAGTTCTGGGGATGGTACAGGGTTTGTTGCAGCCAGCTGCAGCGGCCCAGATGCAAGCCCCTCTGCCTTGGTTGCCGTCAGCCTTGGTGTGGAACCTGCAGCAACCGGCCTCTCCACGGGCCAGGAGGCTGCACGGTCACCAAAGGCACAGAGGGGCAGGTGGAGCACCATGGAAGGTTGGACAGGGGGCCCCACTAGGGCCAAGAAGGTTAATTGATGGAGCCCTTAGGCAGCACCATAGGAAGGAATTTGAGCCTTGCGGGGACCTGAATGAGAAGAATTTGAGGGGACTGATGATGCTACAGTGAAGGAGAGTGGAGCTTGAAAAGCGCTATTTTGTGAGGGTTGTGGCCAGGGACATGCAGGTTTTGATTACCTAAGTCTTTTAAGCCTTGTCTCTCAATTAGTAGCCTATTTGGGGTTTGATTTTCATCTTCAAGGCATTAGGAATAAGCAGTATGAATAATCACTTGCATCAGTGGTGGAAGATGAGGCCTCAAGTTGTCAAACACCTCAGTCACACCGGTGGTAGTAGTGGCTGCAGTTTTACAAAGTCACTGTGGAAGTACATTAAAAAGCAGACACAAAGGATCTTTGAGCCATGTTCCAGCTGTTGTAGAAACCCTTCAGGTATTCATGTCAATGAGTACATTAAGAGTCTTAATAGGTCACAGGTGGCTGCATTTGATTTTTTAAAGCATTCTTACAAGGAGATCCAATTTAAGTATACATTTGAACCAAATTCTCATCCTTTATGGCTCTGTGGGGACATGAATTCATTAGTGAAAAGGCACAGAGTTCTTTAAAAGGGAGAATTGTCTGCCAGTTAGTGTTGGCCTGAAATATCAGGAACTCTATACCCTGTTTCCACTTTGCTTATTGTCCATGGGAGCTGAACTCCCCCCTCAGGGCTGGTGTTTCTTGCTGTCATCCCCAACACGAGATCTGGGAGAGAAAAACGAGACCGCAGGGGATCAACACGGATGAGCCTTGCCCGAGATCCAGCTGCCTCGCGCTGCTCCTTCTGTCACGGAGGCCACCTAAGCCCAGTTTCGAGCTCAGCCATTCCCCAGGCTCGGACAGCAGCAAGATGCTCCAGCACATCCCCTGAATCTCTGCCCAGAGTCACCGCACATGCCCCAGGTCCAACTCTGACCTTGCCACAGGCCCTCGTGTCTTACCCCCAAGAGCCAGCCTTCGCCCTGTGAGCCACTTCTGAGGCCTGGGCTTCTCCCTTGTCCCTGGTGCCTGAGTTTCTGTGTTGGAAACCTAATGCTACCATTTCGTCTCTTTATTTATGTATTTATTTACATTTTTTAAAATATAGTAAAACATACATAACACAAAGTTTACAATTTTAACCATTTTTTGCATAGTCCATTCTCATGGTAAGTTTATTCACTGTTGTACAGTGGTCCCTGCTAGCCACCTCCAGAACTTTTTCATTATCCCAAATTGGACTCGATACCCATGAAACACTAGCCCCCATTTTCCCCTCCATACTTTCCCCAGGAACCTCAGTTCTACTTTCTGGCCCTTGTCTCTTGTACCAAATTTTGCCTTGATCTTGCCGGCCCATCCCTTTTTTTTATTATAGTAAAACTAGCCACAGGGACTAGTCAGGGACTAGTCTTATTTTGAACTTCAACATAGAAAGTGAAGTCCTGCTACTTGCTATCAAAATTTTCATATTTTCTGCCTGCCCAGACTTCTGAGTGTCACTTTATATCTTAGTTTTCACTGCCTTTCTCTGCCTGTCCCTTGTAATTTCCTTACCATTTTGCTTTGAGTTCCCTACCCCATAACACATTCTGCCAACTTCCACCCCTCCTTTCCCATATCTGTGGCTTTATTTCCATATCCTCTGGAGCAGTGTTCTGTCTGCAGCCCTTACTTAGCACTGCAGTGTGATCCTTCCCCCTGCTCCCTCATTCTATGTCTTAATCCCTCCCAATGTGCTCTTCCCAGGTTACCTGGCAGCCTCTCAGGGCAAGAGAGGGCTGACAGTCAGCTCGTGGGCACAAAGCTCCTGGCTTCACAGCCTCTGGAAGTATGAAGCTCTCACTTCCCCTAGGAGACTACAGATTCAAATTCAGAATTATTAGCAAAAGGAATAATAGTCAACATAGCATTGCACAATGGAAGCAGTCGGCATTCAGACACCGTAAATGAGATGAGTTTTAATGGACTAGAGTGACCCAATATGAAATTTCATATATAGATTTAAAAAGCTGACTTCAAAAGTCATTAACTGCACTTCCCCAGGCCCTTCACACCATCTTGTGAAATGTGCATCTCTTTGCCAATAGCCCCAATGACAACAGGAGCTAAATACAATCCTTTGCACCTGAACAGTGATCAGGTACCGTAAAACCTAAAGTTCTACCCTGAAAAAAAGCTTGTTCCTCTAATGTTCAGTGCTTCTCTTCCCTTCTATTAAAGACTGATTCAGCTAAAGAATTAGTCTCTATACTATTTTAATAATAGGTATTTTTAGAGGTCAGTGAAATATTACTTTTAAATTGAAAATAAAGACCCAATTCCTCATCTTCTTCAGTAGAAGTGACACACATTAAGACATTCCTTGAGAAGAGAGATGAGGTAGAATTAGCTATTCATAATAACTCATGGAATTCTCAAGTACTTCATTTTTCAGTGAACCTTAAAAATAGTACAGAGGGCCTATGTAAAATAGCATTTGGGTCATCTCCAACAGTCCAATACTCTTTGTCATGTGTCACTCGTGGTCAGGACCAGGGCAAAACAGGGACAGTGGCCAGGGTGAGTCCCTGGTCAACTGAGAAGTTTAAAGCTGAATTTTTAGCTATGCCATGAATAAGGTCTGAGGACCTAATGTAAATCATGGTGACAATAGTTGGTAACATTGCACTGTATAATTGAAATTTGCCAAGAAAGTAGAACTTAAATGTTAACATCAAAAAATATATACATTTTGCTTTTAAAGCTAAATTATAGTATGAAAGCAGAATCAATTAAGGTACAGAGGGACTGCTCACCAGTTAAACAGGAATCAGAGACACAAAAGTCTGATTTGATTCATTTAAAAAGCAGAGATGGTGAAAGCATTTGGGGGACAGATTGAAGGAAGAAACAAATAACTGGAATTGAGACTTAGTGATGCTCAGAGGATTTCCTGGTTGGTTTGTACCAGTGCCCGTTAAGAAGCCCAAGCCCATCTCATTCAACAAGTGATATCTGGTTCTAGAAGCCTGGGGTCTACTATCATGCACCAAAGAACAGGACAGTCTTTCACAAAACACACTTAGTGGTAGAAAGGGTGTTGGGTTTTAATTTACAAGACTAGGCTCAAGTACCATTTCCACTACGTTTTAGAAATGTATTTGGAGCAGGTCACTTACCCTCTCTGAGCCTGGTTCTTCCTCTAAATAATAACAACAAAACCACTTCACAAATTCCTTTTAGAAGGCATCAAATGAATTGAGGGGACTTTGACCACTGGAAAGCTTTCTATAGTTACTGAAGCTAGAATTACCTAAAAGAAATGTCTTGTAGGTCCTAAAAAAGAAAAATCCAGATATTTGTTCCAAAGACATCAGCTGCATACAGAAAGCAAAGTTAAGAGAGTTTGTATTTTCCTGTTCAGTTTTGTTCAAGGATTCCACGTCATGTTTTTTCAGCTTCCAATAATGGAAACTTCTACCAAATACGTAACAATGATAATACTGACTCAAAACTTTTTCTGGCTATCTGTTCACACTAAGCCAGCACAGAACCAAATGGTACACATTTTTCTGGAACTCATCTGTGTAATATCAGTTTATTTAATCCCAGATTTTCCTATATAGATTCTTCTCTGATCAGTCTTGTAATATTATGAGAGCAGAAATAATTTTCTTCTTTTATAATAAACTTCATTTTTTAGGACAGTTTTAGATTGACAGAAAACTTGTGAAGATAGATTTCTCATAAACCCCACACCCATATTCCTCCATTGTTTACATCCTCTATTAGTCTGGTATATTTGTTCCAATTAAAGAGCCAATATTGAAATATTATTATTTTAAAAAGTCTATAATTTATTTGTTTTCCTTATTTTTCACCTACTGTCTTTTTTCTGTTCCAGGATCCCACCCAGGATACCACATTGCATTTGTTTATCATGTCTCCTTAAGCTCCTCTTACATGTGACAGTTTCTCAGTCTTTCCTTGTTGTGATGACTGACAGTTTTGAGGAGTACTGGTCAGGCATTTTGCACAATGTCCCTTTAGGAGTTTGTCTGGCTTTTCTCATGGCTAGACTGGTTTTGGAGATGAAGATGGAGTGGGGGGTTGCAGCCTATTTCCTGGAGGGTGGTGTATCTACATAAATTACTTAGAATTCTTTGGATGGGAGGTATTTATCTTCCACCCCATTAATTTTTTTCAATTATTTTTTACCAGTAGGGACTCAAGGATATTTATTTCGTATTTTGGATTATAATCCAATATTACTTTGTTTGATTTCCTGCCCTAATTATTTCAGCTCTGGACATTGGGAGCTATTTCAGTTGGCCCTATACGCCTTTGTAATAGCTTTCTCATTCTGGGATTTTGTTTATTTGGTTTGGTTTGGGGACACTTTGTGACACTGAGATGCTCCAGGCTCCTCTTGTTTGTTTCCTGTCTCAGGACTAGAATCAGCCATTTCTCCAAGGAGTCCTGGATCCTTTCATTGGAGAATGGTGTTAGAAACCAGGATCTGAGTGCTAGGTTGTGCTTGTTGCTATGGTGTATTGGTGCTTCTGAGATCTTGCGGTGATGTTCCATTGTAAGGATTTACTACAATTGTTAGGCATTCATCAGCTGATGGACATCACCTTTTTTGGCTGTTAGTAATGCTACTATGACCATTCACATACAGATTTTTGAGTGGACATATGTCCTCGTTTCTCTTGGGTAGATATCTAGGAGTGGAATTGTTGGGCTGTTTGGCAAGTTTATAAAAAGCTATCACCCTGTTTCCCAAAGTGGCTGTGCCATTTTACTCCTACCAACAATGTATGAGGTTTCCACTTCTTCCACATCTTCACCAATACTTGGAATTTTTAGGTTTTATGAATTTAACCAATCTAGTGGTTGTGTAGTGGTATCTCATGGTTTTCATTTTCATTTTCTGATGACTAATGGCATTGAGCATCTTTTTCTGTGTTAATTAGTCATTTGTATATCTTCCTTGGAGAAATGTCTACTCAAATAATTTGCTTATTTTTAAAGGGGGTTATTTGTGTTATTATTAAATTGTAAAAGTTATTTATTCTGTTTAAAATCTTTTATCAGATAATGTTTTGCCAGTATTTTCCCCCAGTCTCTATCTTGTCTTTTCATTTTCTTAGTGGTATCTGTGAAGATGTAAAGTTTTTAATTTTGATGAAGTCCAACTTATCAAATTTTGAATGAATGTGTTTTTGATGTCATATCCAAAATCACAAAGATTTTTCTCCTGTGTATTCTTCTAGCATCTTGTAGTTAATAGCTTTCTCATTCTGGGATTTTGTTTATTTGGTTTGGTTTGGGGACACTTTGTGACACTGAGATGCTCCAGGCTCCTCTTGTTTGTTTCCTGTCTCAGGACTAGAATCAGCCATTTCTCCAAGGAGTCCTGGATCCTTTCATTGGAGAATGGTGTTAGAAACCAGGATCTGAGTGCTAGGTTGTGCTTGTTGCTATGGTGTATTGGTGCTTCTGAGATCTTGCGGTGATGTTCCATTGTAAGGATTTACTACAATTGTTAGGCATTCATCAGCTGATGGACATCACCTTTTTTGGCTGTTAGTAATGCTACTATGACCATTCACATACAGATTTTTGAGTGGACATATGTCCTCGTTTCTCTTGGGTAGATATCTAGGAGTGGAATTGTTGGGCTGTTTGGCAAGTTTATAAAAAGCTATCACCCTGTTTCCCAAAGTGGCTGTGCCATTTTACTCCTACCAACAATGTATGAGGTTTCCACTTCTTCCACATCCTCACCAATACTTGGAATTTTTAGGTTTTATGAATTTAACCAATCTAGTGGTTGTGTAGTGGTATCTCATGGTTTTCATTTTCATTTTCTGATGACTAATGGCATTGAGCATCTTTTTCTGTGTTAATTAGTCATTTGTATATCTTCCTTGGAGAAATGTCTACTCAAATAATTTGCTTATTTTTAAAGGGGGTTATTTGTGTTATTATTAAATTGTAAAAGTTATTTATTCTGTTTAAAATCTTTTATCAGATAATGTTTTGCCAGTATTTTCCCCCAGTCTCTATCTTGTCTTTTCATTTTCTTAGTGGTATCTGTGAAGATGTAAAGTTTTTAATTTTGATGAAGTCCAACTTATCAAATTTTGAATGAATGTGTTTTTGATGTCATATCCAAAATCACAAAGATTTTTCTCCTGTGTATTCTTCTAGCATCTTGTAGTTTCACCTCTTATTTTAAATCTATGGCCAATTTCAAGTTAATTTTCTTTCTTTCTTTCTTTTTTTTTTTTTGTAAATGAGCATCCGATTGTTTCAGCTCCATTTGTTAAAAAGATTATCTTTCCCCATTGAATTACCCTGGCACATTTGTTGAAAATAAATTGACCATACACACGTGGGCTTATTTCTGGACTATTCTGCACCATTGATCTTTATGTCTACCATTATGCTGATATCACATTGTCTTGCCTACTATTACTTTGTGTTGAGATTTGAAATCAGATAGAGTAAGTTTTTCAAGTTCGGTCTTTTTAGTCAAAATTGTTTTGACTATTCAATATCCTTTGCATTTACTTATACTTCTTAGGATCAGTTGGATGGCATCTAATCAAAGAAGTCAGCTAAAATTTTGGTAGAGATTATTTTGAATCTCTAGATCAATTTGGGGAAAACTGACACATTAACAATGTCAGGAATGTCCAAGAACATGATATATTTCTCACTTGTTTAGGTCTTTAATTTCTTTCAGCAGTATGTTCTAATTTTCAATGTATAGGTCTTTTAAAAAAAATCATTCTATTTTGATTTTTTTGAAGTTGTGAATGGGATTTTCTATTAATTACATTTTTAGATTGTTGCTAATATATAAGAA